AGAGGTTTGTATGGACACAAAATGCAAAAAATATAAAACAGTTTATTTAAAAATTTAACAAAAAAATAAATAAAAAAACAACTTTGTAATAGGAGGCTTTAATGCCTTTTTATATAATAAACATTTTCTTTTAACATGGAAATAACAAAAAAATAAGGATGTCCCAAAAGTAGCTGGCCAAACTTTGCTAACGTAATGTAGGTACAGATCAAAATAAGTCTATTTTTCTATATAAGTTTGACGGGCACCTTTTAGGATAAACTGTAAAAGGATTTAGATAGTACTAATATATTCAATTATATTATCTATTAATAGAAACAATTGTTTCATCAGTCTCATTGTTATATATTTTTTTGGTAACTATTTGTTTTAATACATTATCAGGGAGGAGGTAGTCCTTACAGCATAACTGTAACCGTTTAAGGCCAAATCTAATGTATAAAAGAATATTTAATAACGGCGATTTCATCCTTGTTTTTGATTTTATTACATTCATAATATTAAATATATGTGTATATATATAGAGAAAAATGTATGTAATTTTACACAACTTTCACACTAACTGAAGTTGTAAAAAATTACAAATTTTTGGTTAAAGTACATATTTTTGTGTTTTTAAGAAGATATATGTGTGAAATTAGATAAAAAATGTAAATTTACATATTCTTATAAAAGTACATAACATATAATGTGAATTTTATAAAATTTTAAAAGTACTATGTAAAATTTACATTAAAAAGTAAATTCTACATAAAAATATTAAATATTACATATTATAGGTCACCTTTACACATTTCATGTAAATATTAACCAATAGGATTTGAGCATTAAGTCACGCGATGCGGCAGAAGCGTATGTAAACGAAACGAACATTTTGTTGGCTGAGTTAGGACGCGTCGTGTAGTGTTTATAGTTTTTTTTCGTATTATTTGGTAAGTATATTAATTATAAATTAGGAGCATAAAAGAAGAAACTACGATGCCATCAAAGATTTTTCCAATATTAATTGATATATTTTACTTAATTTTATTTAAAGAATTGCCTATTCATAAGTTATACTATTTTATTTAAATAAGTTTAATTTCAATACTAGTGTATTAAACATCTATCCAGTAAAAAGAAAATATTTGGTGCTTTGATGTCAAGTGGTAAAAATGCACGTGTTTACAAATTAATATCTAGTTTAAGCAATAATTTTAGTTTAAAGAAATATTTTATTATAGGGTAATTTTACTTTTTTTTCAGATCCAAATATTTTTTATTGAATAAATATTAGTTATTAGAACAAATAATAATAAGTTAGATTTTAGATTAAATAGGTAGGTATGTCTTCGCAACGTACCCAAAATCTAATATTTCCACGCCATCGTTTGAGTCAGTATGAGAAAGGTTGTTACTATGCATGTATAAAATGTTTTAATCATTTGCCAAAATGCCTTCAGATTGAAACAAAATTGTCAATATTTAAAAAAAAGCTTAGAGATTTGTTAATAAATAATGTTTATTTATTTATTAAATATAGAACCATATAGTTTAGAAGAATTTCAAAATAGATCATTGAATAATAGTTTATCAATGCATTTATCCTTTGCTTTTGACATTTTTTTTCCATAATTGTATAGGTAGGTATGTGTGTAAACTGTAAACAATTATTTGAAAATAAATTATTATTCTTATTATTAATATTATTAAAATAAATCCTATTTTCTATTAATTTTTATATAAATTTGTTATATATATTTGTTATATGTACTACCTATATATTTGTATTTAAAAAATGTTTATTTATTATTGTTTTAAATATACAACTATTGTTAACTTACAATTTTATTTTATTTGGAAATAGATATCCCTAAAAATTCTAACAATTTAAAAGTTATCTTTTAAACTGTAGTATTTAAACTTAAAAAATTGCCTAAACCGTATAATAATCATACTATTTTTATATTTATATTATTTAAAAATTAACAAAAAAATTATAATGTGTAATTCTCAAATAAAAAAAATAAAAATGTACTACGCTTAAAAAGTTTGCTTCTAAATTAAAATTGTCTATTTTTTGTGTATACAGTTTTTTTTAAATACCTGTATATAGGTATTTTCAAAAAATTAAAACTGCAATATTACAAAATTTTGGGTTTATTTAACTTCTGCAATTAAATAAATTCAATATTTTGTACTAAAACTCTAATACTGAAACTGCATGCAGTTTTAGTATTAGAGTTTTAGCACACAATATTGAATTTATTTAATTGCAAAAGTTAAATAAACCCAATATTTTGTAGTATGATTCTATAGAATACAATTACACAATTTTGAAAAAATTACATATTACATGCATGTAAGTAAAATACATTATATATGTATAAAATTTACACAAACGTGTAAATATAAATTACATCTGTCATGTACATTTTAAACAATTATGAATTATCTACAAATTTTGTGTAAACATAAATCACATATTTTATGTAAAAAAACATAGATATGTTTAAGTTACACAATCTATGTAATTTCACATCAGTTTACGAAGCTAACAAATAACCAACGACCAGTTATGTGAAAATTTTTCTCTGTGTACACTGAAAAAAGTCTATGTGTTATTACACAATTTCTTCTGTATTTATTACAGAACTGTTTCTGTAAATTAATATTTAAGTTAAATACAATGTGGATTAACACAATATTCCGGAAATATACAGAGTTCAATGTATTTGTACAATATATCCTTTATATTTACAGAGTGCAGTTTAACTACTCATAAAAATTATTGTAATTTTACAAAGTAATATGTGACAACACAAGCATTCTGTGATTTTAGAGCTTGCTCTGTAAGTTTACAGAATCCACGTAATAAACTGACCAATCAGAGAATTCTGATGTGGTCACGCGATGTACATGGCGTCGCTTTATCCCATAGAAATAATACTCGTATTATTACTAGTATTATTTCTATGCTATATCCAGTATTCAGTGTCTTGTTATCGTTTATCTGCGTTTCTGTGAAAAGTATAGGTAAGTCAATACATTAAATTATGCACCTATATGTATTTAATATTTTTATTAAAAAATAGTACAAGCTTTTATAGTAGGTACAATTGCAGTTACCCGTTTTTTTAACTAAACATATAAATTTGGTAAATCGTTGATTAGTGCTTACAATCTCAAAACTTATTGACAGCAAACTACAGAAACAATTACCAAGAAAATATTGCTCCTGAGTCTAGCATTTTTTAAATTTTTTGTTGTGTTTTAGCTAATTTTCTAACGATTTGACCGTCAAGCCGTTTTTTACTCTGTTATAAGTGTGCATCGTTTACGTTTCCGTCGACCCACAATACATATGTTTACCTATAGGTACTTTTTAGGGTAATTATTATTAAAATAATGATAATAATATGATATGATGACATAAATAATATATGTTACTTGTAACATTTTCTAAATAAAAATTGTAAATGTTTTCTTTTTAAGTTTTACTTACCTGCCAACCTTTTTTATTTATTTTGTTAATAATAATATCAGTAAATATAAAGTTTTATTTAGAACCTCAGAACTGGACGTTGTAGTTAACGCCAAAGTTTGTTTATTTTTATTTAGGTAAAGCAGTTTACAACCTTAAAATTACTGGTAGTACCTACTTTTTAAGAGTTTGAACTCTTGAAAAGTATATAATTAAAAGCTATACTGATTTACATATTTTTTAATCAGTTGTACTCTTAAAGGGTACTAGCAGTAATTTTAAGGTTGTAAGCTGCTTTACATAAATAAAAATAAACAAACTTTGACGTTAATTGCTACGTCCAGTTTTGAGGTTCTAAATAAAATTTTAAATTTACTAATTTGGTATCGTAATTTTACATAAAATCTGTAGACAGACCTAAAGTAAAATCACAGTAAGTATGTTGTAATATTACAGTAATGTTTACGAATCTATTTTACATAATACCTGTAAAATTACAGAACATCAGTAGTTTTACGTTATGAACCTATTACAGAAATTCTGTGATTTTACTTAACATATGTAATCCTTACAAAGCTACTGTAATTTTACTAAACAAATTGCAGGCAACAAATAACCCACATTTTGTTCAGTAAATTTACAGAAATCCTTTTTTCAGTGTAGTATATACTATATACGTTCAGCGTCAGCGTTGGAGTGTGGTAAACATAGGAGTCTTAGAGCTAAATGTACAAGATGCATCTCTGTATTCATTTACCTCTCCCCAATTTTTTTTTAAATATGTGGATGGGGTGTATCAAACTTCCGACGGGTCAAATTCTTGCAGGGTAACTTAATTAAAAAATTACTAGTACCTACAACGCACCCAACCAATACTTTCAATATTTTTTTATTCTGTATTTTAATTATTAAAAATTCGCCAAAAACTCTCCGATGTATATTTAAATTCTCCAGGTTTGAGACTTGTCGCTATCTAACTTAAAAACTCTCAACCAAGAACAAAAAATCACCAGAAATGGTGAAAAATTCTCCAAGATGGCAACACTGCAACGCTAGTTGCGTACTCTATTTCTTGCAAGAAGGCCATGATCTAATATAATACAGCCGAGTATTAGTGTCGCTCATTGTTTTACAAAGAATATGGTTAATTTTCCATTTTTTATCTTGGCAGATGATTTTATTGAAGGGTAACATATCGAGTGTCTAAAAATACTATAGTATAATAATAATATAATAATATATTAAATATTAACAATAATGGAACTCTAAAACGTTTTTCATACTCCTCTCTGGTTTGATGCCCTTGAATTCATTTTCAATTGTTAATAAGGGTCTTAGTTTTTTTGTCGTCAATAAGTTGTGGCAGATTTAATTTATAATAATGTACGTTGTGCCGGCTCTAATTTTGGATACTGTGCAGTCTCAACACTTATTAATTAATATTATTATTTAAATAAAATGTCAAATGAAGGTTATACATGCTCAATAAATTTAATTGTTAATATAAGTATAAATTTAAATAATTAAATTGTATTACCTGTCTGCCTCTTAAGGAGCATAACCACCAACCCTCGATGTTCCTAGTATTTTGCTCTAGTACAATTAGGTTGTCTCCTTTTCTAAACTCTAGTTCATCTGGGGTATCAGGGATATTATCATACAGAGCTCTAGCAATGCAATGCTGTAAAAAATAAATAAATAAATATTAATGTTTTACCTTTTTCTCCAATAAAATTAACATTGCAATTATAACTTGGATCAAAATATGTAAACCAGCGTTTGAAATAAATGTCCACATTACCATAAAATGCACTTAAGTTAAGCATTTTATAACCTTATTAAACTAACAATCCATTCATGTCAATATGTTCTGCCCATATTAATACATTTATTTATGTAAATGCCTACAATACCTTAATTCAAATAAAGTAAATTACGTGCTATCCATTGCATCTTATGGATTAGGTAATCTTTGCTTGCACCCTTATTCATGGGCGTCCATATAAAAATTTTTATGGGGGCAAACACCGTGATTACAAAGGCCGGTAAAATAAAATGTTCTGTTTTTCTGCAGGGATGCGAATAATTTGCGTGAGCTGATTTAAAAAAGACCACTTTGCTCAATCAGCTCTTATTTTTGTGATATTTTGATTTTTTATACGATTATTATGCAAACATTAAAATTCGTAAATATTATTTTTATTTATTAGTAGGGAAAGGGGACCGCCCTTTGCGCCAGCTCAATTTTAGAGATATTGAGCTCAAAGTTTAGGAGAATTTTTTTATATTGAAGAAACTTTTTACTAAAATTAAATATATCTAAAAAGTTTTAAGATATATTTCATCGAAAAAAAAAGTTATTTTGACACAGTCTATGTTACACATACAGTTAGCAAACGACTTTTGGTATATAATTAAATATATTTAACTTACATATGTAATTAATAACTAAATTCTTTACGTATACGTATTATATTATAAAAATATAAAACGGATTATTTAAATCACCGGTGTATAGTCGCCAGATGAGCATTTTAAATTAAACGCTTGGGTTTACAAAATATCGTATATAACAAAGGACAGGAAGAAAGGCAAAAAACTGTCAAGTAAGTATCTTGCCCCTGATATACAATAAAGACGCGTGTATTAAAAGCATTGTTATTACAAATATACAGCTACCGTCCTAGATTTTTAAGAATCGGTAATAACCGTCCGGTTTTCTTTTAGATAATTTATTTTTGCAATGTAATCTATCAAATTCCAAAATTTATTTAAAATTTTATTTCTTATTAATATTTGTAGTGTAAACTAAAATACAATGGTCCTTGTTAAAAAACAAAACTAATAAATATTAAATTTCCTGTATTGTTCTAGCCGCCGACAGACGAAAATAAAGTTAAAAATAATTGCAACCCATCTAGAATTACAAGCAGCTCCAATTATAAAGAATGCTAAGATAATGTGAGAAAATGCAGCAGCAGGGAAATTATTATTAACTTATTTGCCTAGAAATAATGTAAAAAACATAACAAATTTTTGAAGGAAATTATAATAGTAGTAGGTAACTGCTAAATAAAGATTCCCTTAAAAACCGTTTTTGGGGTAATATAGTAAAAAATTTATAATATATTCAAAATAATTATGATACTTTTTCTAGAAAAGGAAATATATTGTACAGAAAAATGGGTGTTATAAAAACGGGTGGTGCCATATCAAATATATTGTTTTTTCTACTCCTACTTTTATCTATGGAATGACATACATATACATATTATTACAAAATGAAATATTCTATCATCGGATGACAGAATAAACACTCGTGGCGACATTTAATATCTAACAAATTTTAGACCGATCCAACCTCACTTTCTTCCAATTAAATTATTTTTATATGGTTTTTTTTGGAAACGTTGAAAAAGTATAGTCTGAATATACTATTCTTTTGTAAATAATATTCACATGTACATTTTCTAGTTATATTCCTATATTATTCTAAATTTAGTCTGTAAAAAAAATTAAGCTATAAAATAAAATAAAATAGTATAGAATATATGTATATGTATAATATATATTGTATATGTATATTAGGGTGTCCCTTATTTTTATTTTTTTTACGCATACCCTCTAATTATATTTATTACGTGTTTATATACTCCCAGTAAAAATTTCAGCTCATTCTATAAACGGGAACCCGTGCCGACTTGCATCTGAACCCTCCGTGAGCCAACGTTAGGCGCGCGGTATTTTGTAACACGGTTGGCCGCGAGGTCTTCGATCGTAAGTCATTTTGTGTTTGTTATTATGTGACCCTTATATTATAAATTATTGACAAATGTTAAAATATAGTTTTATTTATGTGTATACTTTGATAAAAATGTACCTATATTTTCACAGGGAGTGGCTAGTTACCCGGAAGGGTCTAGTGAATATGCCGTAAACTCTGAAATTGATAAACTTAATGGGATTTACTCTAAATAACTAAAAGAGTCTATTGTGAGAGATGACTACCGAAAACTGTCTGAAATATTTTTGGGAGGACATCAAGAAAAGGAATGCTTATAAAAAGCTGAAATTTCATATAACAGTATATTTTAGCAATAATAATTAGTATATTAATATATTTAAGGGATAAAATCAACTAATTTTTTTTTGGTTATTTTTTAGCTGTCATTCAGATATAATAAAAAAAAGAGTTTCGGGTAATTGGTTTTACGGCCTATTCACCCGACACTTCCGGGTAACTAGCCACTTCCTGTAAAAATATTCATTTTTATTAAAGTATACACATAAATAAAACTATATTTTAACATTTTTTAATAATTTATAATATAAGGGTCACATAATAACAAACACAAAATGACTTACGATCGAAGACCTAGCGGCCAACCGTGTTACAAAATACCGCGCGCCTAACGTTGGCTAATGGAGGGTTCAGATGCAAGTCGGCACGGGTTCCCGTTTATAGAATGAGCTGAAATTTTTACTGGGAGTATATAAATACGTAATAAATATAATTAGAGGGTATGCGTAAAAAAATAAAAAATAAGGGACACCCTAATGTATATAGTATGCAACAAGTTTGATAAACGGCATTTTAGTTTTTAATTTTTATTAGGTGTTTAATAAACAAGTGCCTAGAGAAGTTTATAAAACGAATTACATTCTTTTTCTACGTGAAACATAAATAAAATAAAAACTGACATCTGTCAGACGGTTCTCACCTCACTTTCTAAAGATCATTATAGTCGCTTTATTTGGACGATTGTATGTATGACATTTGACAACTGTCAACTAACTTAAAGCTCACTTCAGCCCGTGACTAAAATGACATACCATAGCAGAAATAGTACATTATCTAGGCGGAGAAAGCGCTTATTTAAAGCCGAGGTCTTAGCCGATGCTGCAGATCTGAGAGAAGCAGTTAATATGCTTTCTATTGTATATTCTATTTTTTTAAGTTTTTAATAATTTTGTAATTACTTACATTGAAATTATACAGTTCGCGACATTTTTTCAGGTATGACGTTTGACATATGTTATATTATAGGTTATGTACATAAATTTATTCTACAGTGACCTGTAAGTTTACATCTTATTTGCTAATTTCGAGCTAAACGCGATAGATGGACCCACTCTTCCTATGTAATTTCAATGTATTTTCATTATTGTACCGCGGTGTACGATAAGTCTTTCTATATAGGCTTATGAGTGTTATAATATAAAATTTGTTATAAGCTTGATTTTTTTTATTTATATAACTGCTGTTACTCAATCAGACCTATAACTTTGATCAATTGTTAAGTTATTCATTTTATTTTATTTAGTAACACTGTATTATATTAATGGTTAACAGATACATTTATATATTAATGTCCATTCAAAGTTTTAAATTCAAACTAAAAATGCATTTGTATTTACATAGTATTAACTTGGCACCCCTAAATTTAAATGACTCACAGGGGTGATGAAAAGGATCCATATTTAGGCACGTGACCCTAATTTACCTTAGAGAAAATTTTAAATTAAGTTAAGTTTAAAATATGTATTGATTTTATTATAAATACATTATTTATTTGTATTCTTCTATATTTATGTTCAGTTATACATTTTTGTTTTACAAAAATATGTTTATAACAAACAGATGGTAATTTTTCCAAATATGTCCGACTCATCCAAGGATTCGTTATCTTATACTATTAACATCTTTAATGTTAAAAGGGATTGAGTGCGGAATTAGTTCTTATTTCCGTGCGGGTAACGACAATGGTTTTAATGGAAATGATGAAACTACTAATGATTAGTAACTAATCATTAGGGATATTCAATGACTATTGTTTAGCTCATAAGCTGAACGATAAATTGAGATAAATTTGTGCTTGGCAGAACTCACATGGGGTCGGTCAAAATCTCGACATGCTTGAAAAAACTTATATAAGGTATTATAAATATCCCGTGAAATCGTCAAACTCGCCTTCGGCTCGTGTGAAAAACTTGTCACTCGAGCGGAATATGCCGTATTCCAAACTTGTTGCAGAATGTACTATTTTAACAAAACCTTTAAACAATTTAACATTTTTTAGGAAAGTCTAAACTTGTTTACTTTTTATTCAATTCTTTATCATTTTTTAACCATTTAAATTTTAAATATTTATATAATATGCAAAAGGAATTATGAAGAATGACTTTTTTTCCATGGACACTCTGTATATAAACACTTTATTTTTTTACGCAGTTCAAAAGTCAAATTATACACCGCCGTACAATAATGAAAATACATTGAAATTACATAGCAAGAATGGTTCCATCTATCGCGTTTAGCATAAAATCCGCAAAGAAAATGTAAAATTAGAATAAATTTATGTTCACAACCTATAATATAACATATTTCAAATGTCAAACCTGAAAAAATTTCACAAACTTGATAATTTCAATAGGAACTTACCAAGGCCCGATTGATAAAAGAAATGGAATTATTTGTTAATGGGTAAACTGGGTAAAATGTGCCTACGAATTCTTGAAAATCATTCCTCCAAATAGTGTGAAGTCCGAAAGATATCGTTCGTTAGTTTGTTTGTTTCTTTATTTTAAATTGGTTTTAAAATTTATTATATATATTTTTTCGGGACTGATCCCGAAAGGCCCGGGATTGGAAAAAGGGCTAGTTTTTACCTAATCAAATAG